GCATCCTTTGAGATGGACATCCTGACTGAGTTATGGATCTAGTATCTGAGACATCTGCAAACTCTATTCTTAATATTTAATTACATGGCCTTGGAGTTAAAACCTTAAATGCCTAGGCCGGGGGAACCATGATAAATGAATTAAATGGGCTGGAGATGAGAAAAACAGGGCAGCAATGTGTTATATGCCAAGTGGCACTGGGTTTGGGGAGACAAACTAGAGCAGAAGAAGTTACGGCAAAGCGGAGAGTCGAGTGTCTAAAGCTGATCTCTGCTACGCAGAATGAGGGAAGCTCTGTATAATCAGAACTCATTTCCCAAGAGAAACCAGAAAGCTTTACTTTGTGTGTGCATGAAAACGCCTGATTTTTTAAAGTTGGCAACTATTTCACAATTTCAAAACTTTGTAGGGCCATCCCCGTAAGGCCAAACAAAACATGTCTGCTGGCCAAATCTGGCCTTGAGGCGACACATTCTACTGCTCCTGTGTGTGACATATCCTGCCGTTCCCGTGTTCAGCCAGAGCTGAGGCTCTTCCTAGCAGTTCTTAACGTCCCTCCCAGACATTTCCCTAACAGCTGCCGATCCGGATGTGTCCTGACATTGCCATGTATGCCCAGATTTTCCACAGAGTTCTTCACGCACCTTCATGTGTGGACACTGTAAATAATTCTTCTCATGAAAAGTTAACTAGACCTTGAACTAATTCAGCAGGGCCGCCATCTGGGAGTCCTCAGAAACAGTGAATTGTCAGCACTGTAAACATTTTAAGCTTCGGGGAGGACACTGACTTTTTCTAAACTAATCACCCCTGCCAGTCAAAATGTGCAGCATGGGTTCAAGAACAAGGCGTTCATTTAACAACAATAACAAAAACAGTGAGGATGAAAACCGGACAGCCATCATAATGAAAGGCCTAAAAGCAAACTGTGACTTCCCTAATAAGGCGACGGCCAAAGCTGGCTCCCTGGCGGTCGAGCGCCAATACAATTAATCAGTCTGTTTTCAGTTTTCTCACGACAGCAATATTAACAGTTTGCTTTATTCTGTTTATATGGTGCTGACAGGTCTTCGGCATGTTGGGCCTACTTGCTAGAGATTAATGGCCACTCTCATATTGAGGTAAAAACCAGGCAGGAAGAGAATGCCTTTTACGACTAGATAAGAACTAGATTCTCTTGCTTTTTTTTTGTTCCCCATCAACTCCTCCCTCTTTTAATTTCTATCAGGGATATATAAGATTAGTTAAGTCCAGCAAGTTCACCTCAGTGTTTAAACTCCCCCACTTTAGATGTTGTATCCTCAGGTAAAACAAAGGGAGCCTTAGATATTAATTTTGGATAAACTCATTACATATAAAGGTATTGGTGACTAACTTTGTTTTTAAGAAGTTGTATTCAGCCTGGGCAACATGGTGAAACCCCATCTCTACTAAAAATACAAAAATTAGCCAGGTGTGGTGGCGGGTGCCTGTAGTCCCAGCTACTCAGGAGGCTGAGGCAGGAGAATCGCTTGAACCCAGGAGGTGGAGGTTGCAGTGAGCCGCGGTTGTGCCACTGCACTCCAGCCTGGGCAACAGAGCGAGACGCTGTCTCACAAAAAAAAAAAAAAAAAAAAAAAGAAGAGTGGCTGGCCGAGTGTGGTGGCTGACACCTTTAATCCCAGCACTTTGGGAGGCTGAGGTGGGCAGATCACCTGAGGTCGGGAATTCAAGACCAGCCTGGCCAACGTGGTGAAACCCCGTCTCTACTAAAAATAAAAAAAATAGCCAGCCGTGGTGGCACATGCCTGTAATCTCAGCTACCCAGGCAGCTGAGGCAGGAGAATTGCTGGAACCTGGGAGGTGGAGGTTGCAGTGAGCCAAGATTGCACCACTGCACTCCAGCCTGGGTGACAAGAGTGAAACTCCGTCTCAAAAAAAAAAAAGTGTGGCCTGGATGCAGGAAGTATGGACACCCCAGCAAAACTCTTGGAGGTTATTTCACTAAATAGTCATATTTCAAAATAAATCATCCCTGGTTGTTTAGTGGCTAGAAAAACAATTTTTAAAAATTATATTTTAAATTTTTTAATAAAAAAGATTTTAAAAAATTCAAGACCAGCCCCCTCAACTTACCTCCTCCCTCAAAAACTGTAAAAGTACTACTTGTTACTAGCACACTTTTCTCTGCCTCAGGTTTGAGAGAAATGGTAACCCTAAATAATATTTTAACAACATGTAAGCATAGGAAATCCAAAATAACAAAATTGAAAATAAAGCAGTGCTTCCTCAGTTTCCATAGGAATCAATGTCTCATTGCTGGCTCGTAGGGAGACACCTCCACTCATTTTATGAAAGTGGTCACATGGAGAAGCATGCACTGTATAAGTAGAAACTACAGGCCTGGGCCCAGCTAGCGTTCCATCCGACTCTCCCTTGCTCACTCCTTTCTTGACATAGCAGCAGGAAAAGAGGATTAATTCTAGTAGAGAGAATAACAGGGGGTGGCTTTTAAGTGCAATATTTTATCAGATATTTTAAAAGTCAAATATAAGAACAGTCTAGGATAAGAAAGTGATATTAATAGCAATAATAGTATTTACTGTGTGCTTACTATGTCCAAGCACTGTTTTAAGCACTTCAGTTGTGTGAACTCATTTAATTCCCACAAGGGAATGCCTTGAGAGCAAAGTAATAATTTTTGCCGGAAGGGCAGGGTATTTGAGAGTAGAACAATATACTGGGTTAGACTTAGGCAGATCTTGAATTCTATACTTCTATTTTAAATAATTTATCTAACGCAAAGGTTGGATTGAAGAGGGAAGAAATGTTAGGCTAGTTAGAAGGACACTGCAATAGCCTTGAGATTCTCAACCAGGGTACTGTATTAGAAGTAAACAGGAGAGGAAAGATTTGAGAGTTATCTCAGAAACAGAACCATCTAAAATTTTTTGGACTGATTTGATGGCTCCTTCATTCATTTGCTTATTCACTCAACAACTATTTTTCAGTGTTTTGGATGGGTCAGACATTATGCTAAGTGAAAAATAAGAAGGTAAGAAAAAGAAGACCCTGAAGATGATTCCCTCCCCAAAATTGGGCTACTAGCCATTACTCAGTGGTCTAAAGTGATGCTTAATATACATCCATCCCTCCCTCCATCTAGCCATTCAGTACTTACTGAACACCTACCTTGTGCCAGGCATTGCATTATATAATGGTTATGAACAAGTCCAGGAAAGAAAAATACAGGGAAAAGGGAGAATGAAGGGGAAAAATGCTGTCTTCATTCTCATAGCTTTGGGAGAGCCTTGTTTCTAGAACTCCCATCTCTTTCCTGGTGGTCTGGCCATAAGGCACAGTACATGGTGGTAAACCACCAGACTGCTGGAATTGGGTAGAGATTCTTAGTCATCCAAATGAGGAGAGGACCTTCTATTTAATTTCTAAATGTGTGCCTTGATTTGGCATATTTTAAGCAGAGCAAAACATTATACCACAAAGGTATCTAACATGATTCCCATGTACAGATTTTAATATTGTCTAGAAATACAGGCACAAGAAAAATAAGCTCTGAGCAAAGCCAAAAGGTACTGAAAATAATAGAACATACTTTGAACATTAAAAATCTTGTATCTGGTTTGGTTGGTAAATTAGTTTGAGACATATAATTCTACTGCCTTCCAAGGAAAGCCCTGATCTTTTAAAATTAAGATATGCCTAGACTTTATAAGAATAAATCCTGACCACTTTCTGTGCTTTCTGAAAAACAACTAGGTAATAGAATGACTACCACTGAGAAGTATTTTGCTTTATGGCAGCTGTCTTTTCATTATTATTTTATGAGAGCTAGTCTAGATATTATATATCCTTCACTATCTACATTTAGTTCTTTTTAGATGCCTGGGGTTATGTCAGTTTCTTTGGATCTAATTGGATCTCAAAACTCCATCACTTCAATACTTTCCAAAGGTTCTTAGGCAGGTAGGCTTACCTCCAAAAACATTAACATGACTAATGCATGCGGCTGGTCATTTCTATTAAAACAAAAAAATTAAAAGGTATTTTTAGAGACTTAGGAACACCATCAACAATTATTTCAAGTATAAGCTAGTTTGTATACGCCAAGGGTGAGACTTTAAATGCCTATAAAATCTGTCTGTAAAAAAGGAATTTTATGAGAGCAGGCACATTTTAGTTTCAACTTTAAGGATCTGAGCCTGCTTTGGACTTGGTGTTCTATGAACTATGAGCTAACTAAGTTACGGGAAAGCAGCCTGCACCCACGGTAAGATGAAAAGGCAGAATCCTGGGCCTGTGCATTTTAATTATAGCTCTACTGCCTGCATCATTGACCAAGTTTGGGTATTTGTTTCTGCACAGAAAATAAGATTTGAGGCCCACACAGTGGCTCACGCCTGTAATCCCAACACTTTGGGAGGCTGAGGCAGGAGGATCGCTTGAGTTCAGGATTTTAAGACCAGCTTGGGCAACAGAATGAGTCTCTGTCTATATTCTTTTAAAAAATAATAATAATAAAAATAAATATATAAAATAAAATAAAATTTGAATAACCATTTACTTATTTCCCATTGAAAATGCTTTTTAGTTATGAACTATTTTAAACATGCTTATTTTTTGCTGATGAGAAACAGGAATTGAAATTGGAAAAAGTATAAAATACTACATAAGTGACCAATATAGATACTTCCATGATTATTATCTCAAATTAACATATTGGTAAGAGAAGCCTTCACCATCCTGGGCACTTGATCCATGGGTGAAAGCCTTCAGTAACGGTGAATGTTATTTTCATTTTGCTTGGCTTAACCAAATGGGGACCTTGGAGTAAAAAAAGTAAAAAGATGAGCCCAGAGGGAGGCTGGCAGTGGAGAGGCGGAGGGAGAGCCACAGAATTAGAGGCGGTCTGTGCTGGAAAGGCCCTTTGGAGATCATCTCACCACCCTCCATGGGCGGGAAAGAAAAACAAACGGGAGCCGTCTGAGATTTATGACTCTTACCTGCGGCGGAGATCCTCTGCCACCGCTGCCCGGCAGCTGAACAAATAGGCTCGGAGCGACTTCAGCCGCTGCCGCAGCCGCAGCACGGCGGCCAGCGGCTCTGCGTGGTGGTACAGCATGGCGTTCTCCTGCTGGATGTCGATGAGCGGCTCCTCGTACACGTACTCCAGAAACTCCTTGGCCTGCTTCGACACCTACAAAACAAGCGTTGTCAGTCAGTCCTGGAGAAGCACCTGGCTCTCCACACTTGCTCAAACTAGGAACCATAGCTGATATATCAAAGGAACACCATTATTTTCTGAATACAGACAAATGAAAAAGTCTGTAGTAGAATTAAATGTAAATTTTGAGTTCTCTCTCTTCCAGACATTCAACTGTAAGCTAGGAAGGAATTTATTAATTCTGCATCTTGACTGCAGTGGTGATTATAGGAACCTACATATGTGATAGAAGGGCACAGTATGGTGCCATTACACTGACCCATTAGACCAATGTCAATTTGCTGTTTTTGTTTTAGATATTGTACCTCAGTTGCCTAAGATGTAGCCAAGGGAGGAAACTATGTGAAAGGTACACAGAACCTCTCTGAATTGTCTATGCAATTTCCTGTGAATCCACGATTATTTCAAAATAAAAAAGGAATTAATTAAGAAGACTGTCTTAATACAAATCCAGATTTTTAAAAATGACATAAATTTATATGTGCATATATATGTATGAATATTCCATAAGACTTTTAAAAAGTAGCCACTTAAAAAATAGGCAAATCAAGGCCGGGTGTAGTGGTTCATGCCTGTAATCACAGCACTTTGGGAGGCTGAGGCAGGCAGATCACTTGAGGTCAGGAGTTCAAGACCAGCCTGGCCAACATGGTGAAACCCCGTCTCTACTAAAAATACAGAAATCAGCCAGGCATGGTGGCACATGGCTGTAATCCCAGCTGCTTGGGAGGTTGAGGTGGGAGAATTGCTTGAACTCGGAAGGCGGGGGTTGCAGTGTGCCAAGATCATGCCACTGCACTCTAGCCTTGGCAACAGAGCGAGACTCCGTCTAAAAAACAAACAAACAAAAAAGAGTAAGTCATGTACATATTACAACATTCAAGAGGGATAAAAGGATATTATTTGCAGAATAATCTGACTGACTAGCAAACAAGTTCTCAAATATCCTGCTTCAGTGACCAGAAAGGAGTTGCTCTTATTACAACTTTGAACTTGGGCTAACTCCAGCCAATATATCCATCCAATTCTGTATCCACCTCGAGTGGTAATCCATGGTGATCCACAAGACTATGAAAGTTCATTTTATAATGTCATTGTCATCAGTAGAAATAAATAGTACATGGAAACACAATGTCTCAGATATACAGAGGGAGTGGCTTAAATAATGCATAACGCGAGGGTAATTTTTCAGAATCTCTACATATCAATCACTGATAGTGAGATGTAGATTGGCTACAAATACATAGAAAGTTGGCTCAGTTTCTATTTATGGAAAGTAAAACCTCTCTAAAAAGTTCCCATTAAAATCTCTCTAGGAGCAAGGTTAGAATTCAACATTAAAATAAAAAACTTTGCTTATTAAAAAGAAAATAAAAAATCTACTATGTTTCATATGCTAGGCTAGAAGTATATTAATAAAGATATATAGGATACAGTTCCTACCCTCAAGTGGCTCACTGTTTAGTATGAGACAAATATTTAAAACAAAACCGCATGTAACATGCAGCATGTAGCCTGTCATCTGCTACAAAAGAGGTATGGATGGGGCCCACTGGTAGCTTAGAGGAGGGAGAAATCAACACTCCTGGTGGGGAGAGGGTTGGCAAAGCAGGTGGCACTGGATCTGAGTGTAGAAGATAAACAGATATTCACTTGGTGAACAAATGCGGGACAGAAGAGAGTACAACAGGCAGAAACAAACATAACAACCCCTCTGTATGTATATGTGATAATTAAATATATGGCTATTATATGTTGATTATAAATTTCTTGTACATAAACATAGAATTCAATATGACCATTTTCTTATATTGCAAAGCTTATATCAAAGTTTTTGTTCTTTATAGGAATGCAAAAAAATACATCATTTAAAAAATAAACATCTAATTTTTTTCCTTATAAGCAATTATTTTTGAGGTACCTGTTGTGTTGTGTGATCCTATAGCATCCTGCAGAGTTAGAGTTACAGAATTAGAGAAGTTTACAGTCTCTGAAAATCCAGGTCACAAAGAGGCAACTAGAATTAGCCAAAATCTTCAACTATCTAACCAGATTGGAAATAACAGTTATTCCTCACTTTTATTTTTGAGGCATATATGAATAGACACAGGTATATGCCAGATACCGTAGCAGGCATTAGGCATCCAGTGGAGAATAAAACAAGCATGGCCCTGTCTTTAGGTATAAGAGCCCACAGTTCGGTGGGAAAGAAAGAATTGGGTTTAAATATTTTATTTATCATGATTAAATATTTGCGATATTTAAATATCTTAAAATGAGGAAAAGACTGATGGTGTTTTGGGAAATGAAGTACAACCCACTTGAAACTGTTGCTAAAAAATGATGTATTGTACAATTCAATTAGTCTTCCTGGCTCTATTGAGCAGTGTTTATATGGAGTCAGGGCCCTGCTGAATTAGGTTAACAATGCTACCTTTTAGTAGGTGAACAGAGCGACAGAGGGCACTGGCCAGTCTCCCAGGCCTTAAAAGGCTTCTCTCTTCAGGTGGTACTTAAGCCGAAAAGGAAGAAAAAAATCTTTTACAGAGAAAGTAAAAGCAGTGAGACAAATGGAACAGCAACCACTGACATCAGTATTCATAAACTGAAATTACAAAAAACAAAAACAGAGTTCTTTTCAACCATGTCGGAGGCGCTGCCTTCACCAGTTGTTACTAGCAGCAGGCATATGGTGCACATCGCTACCGCTGCTGCCTGAGTACGTGAACAAATCCCCACCACGTTCAGCCATTTTTGGCAGCAAGGCTGAGCGCATGAGCTCATTTTTGAGAATCAGCCACTAACAATCGGTGAGGGAATTTTTGAGAGAACTCAAAATCTGGCATGGGATACTATTTTTGCAAAATAGAGCATTGTATCCCCACTGATTTCCTAAGTTCTAAATGACCCTCCATACTGGCATGAGGATTGCACTCTCAAACTCAACTCGAATTAAAAAAGAAAATGTTAAAAAAAAGTTACTCAGGAACAAAAGCCAAAGATATTCTTAGGTGATAAAGTTTATGTGAGAAAAAGTATTTTGTTAACATAAATATTATATGAATTATATGTGAACACTGACTATGTTCCAACTAAGAGCTAAGAGCTACTGTCCTACTTCTTGCCAACCAAACTATGAAAAACCTAAAAAGCCTGCTGCCAATTCTGATGTCAAGAAAAATTCAGCTCATAGTCAGGTGCACATGAATGAGCTCAAAACTCTATTTTAAAAAATGAATGATTTGGACTGGCACTCTTTTCCACGATACCACTCCATTCACATTAGTATTAGTATTGACCTATTAGTATTTTACCAAATAATATTTAATATTTATTAATGATATTCATTCTATTCATATGAATGAATTTCTTTCCATAGCTTTTGTAGCTTATAAACAGAATAGTTTGAGCTATAAGAACTCAACACTGTAACGGTGATTATGCCGCAGTTTATGAACTGATTATTTCTTCGCAACCCTGCAGACTACATGATTCAAGAGAAATGAGAGAGAGGAATCCAAGAGGAAACAGGCCTCCTGCCCTACCTCACATTCAGGAGGAGTTGGAGAAAATGGCAAAATCACATTATGATTAGCTACAAACTAATAATTACCATTTACACATATACATTTATAAGTAAACACATATGTCATTTGATTTGAACATTATTAAGTATCACCAGTGTAGATTCAAACACAATACAACTTTTGTTACGCTGGTGACAGCCACCTCTTAAAAACAAAGTTCTTGAATGTTGTTCAGGTTTGCGTAATCCTGAGGGAGAGTGTTCTGGTATGCTCCCCCACAAAAATAGCCCCTGGTGATAACGCAATGGGGCAAAGGGAATGTTTAACCATAGATAGCAATTTGGAGATGACATGGTATTATGATGGTGGTAGTGAGGACTTTATTTTTATTAAAGGAGGAAAATGTATCAGAATGAAACATGAATAAGAAGGACTCATAGAATAACAGACTAGTAAAGATAATCTAATTCAATTTTCCTCAATTTGTGTTCCAAGGAACACTAGTCCCACAAAAAAGTCGTTCTGAGGTCCAATAAGATGTATGCCACACACCACTTTCTTTCCTTGGAGATTCAAAGCACAGCATGTTTGCATATTAAAACTGAGACATCTCGTACCGAAGAAAACCTGCTTAACCCAGCCACTTCTCAAAGCTATTTGACTATAGACAGGGCAGCTGTTCAGTGCTGCACAGGATGCATGGGCGGTGGGAGTGTGGGAGATAAGATCCAGCCTGGACCCCCACTCACCAGCCAGAAGAAAGGGTATCTTTCTCTACCTCGCTGCATCCTCTTGCTAAGCTATGAGTTTGCTGAGCTGTGTTCTGAAGGCACCCTTTTCCAATTCCTGTAAAGCTGGCCTAGCTGTGGCCCTCCTTTTTGTGTAACACCTACTAACACGAAAGAATCTGGTGATGCTCCATGGAATACACTTTGAGAAACACTGAACTAATCCATTGCCTGTATTTAGCAGAAGAGAAAATTGAGTACAAAGAGCGGAGGGAGCAGTAAAACTTATTTTGGTGGTGCCTGTCATGGTAGAATAGAGCCAGAACTCAGATCCCTGGATATCCTGCTCTGTGCTTTTGGGATTGTTGTACATTCACAATTCTGTATTTATTATGTATTTATTTTATTTTATTTATTTATTTATTTTTTTTGAGACAGAGTCTCGCTCTGTCACCCAGGCTGGAGTGCAGGTGGCGGATCTCAGCTCACTGCAAGCTCCGCCTCCTGGGTTCATGCCATTCTCCTGCCTCAGCCGTCCCGAGTAGCTGGGACTACAGGTGCGCCCGCCACCCTGCGCCAGCTAGTTTTTTGTATTTTTTAGTAGAACGGGGTTTCACCGTGTTAGCCAGGATGGTCTCGATCTCCTGGACCTCGCATCCGCCCATCTCGGCCTCCCAAAGTGCTTACAAGGCTTGAGCCACCGGTC